CAGCCGGTACATACAAGTGGGGAGCGGCTCGGCCAGCAGCGCGCCAGGCCCCCCGTGCACGGGCCTCACCTTGTACATGGGCATCGCGGCGCACACGCGGCAGCACCCCTGCTGCCAGCCCGGAAACGGCCGAACAGTTCCCGCCTCGCCCACCCCCTCCCCCGATTGGGTGGCGGAGCCCTTCCGGGCACGAGGACAACCCTCCCCGATTGGCCGGGGAGACGGACGAATGCCAGTGGGGGGCCTCCCAATAGGCCGGGCGGAACAGCCAATCCGCGTGCGGCAAAAGAGAGCTCGCGCGGGATTGAACAAGGCTGTCTCCCTCTGGCCAATGAGCGGCTGAGTGCTGAGGCGAGTCTGGCGCCTCGGGGCTGTGGAGGGGCGATGGAGCCGGCGGCCTGGTGAGACCCCCTCCCCCCTCCCAGCCCCCCTCAGCGGGCGGCGGCTGAGCCCGGCCCGTGACGCGCTCCCTCCCCCCTGTCTTGCAGCCCGCCTCCCGCCGCGGCCATCCGGGCCCTGGACCGCCCGTCCGTGCACCGCATCTGCTCGGGGCAGGTCGTGCTGAGCGTCGGCACCGCCGTGAAGGAGCTGCTGGAGAACAGCCTGGACGCCGGCGCCACGCACGTCGGTGAGTTGAAGATACCTAAGCTGCCAGATGGTCTAGTAGGCAGGCTTGGCTGGTGTGGCAGGTGTGTTGGTCGTCGTTTGAGGGATGGGCACAGGCTTAGGTTACTCACGTGTGGTTGGATACACACAGGCCCGTGTTACCACGTCTTTGTTTCTAGCCGTGGGTCCCAAACACGCTCGTGTACATTCTGCCGAGGTGTAAAACTTAAGCACAGGCATAAAAAATTTGCAGGATCAGGCCTTGATTTGTCATCTGAGTGTTGTGATCCAACTTGGTACGTGGATCCCGGGGTGCCAAGTGTACTGTAGAAAGTTGCCACCCCTGATGACAGCTTGGTGGCCAATCAGAAAAGTGTTTGTTTTGGGGGGGGAGGGTGTTCATGTCACTGACATCATCATCATAAGCAGTAACTCATGCTCCCATTAAGTATCTCTGCCGTTTGATCAAGGATCTGAATGAAGGTGGAGACCGAGATAGTGATGTCTCCTGACTAAGGGTGTTTCCTCCATGCTTTAAACCAGTGGTTCTCAACCGAGGTGCCGCAAGGACGCTGTTGCCGTCCTGGCCAGGTGGATGGAAGTCCACCTGCAGACCTAGATCGGGAAGTAGCTGTGGCAGCAGCACTGGCATCATCCCAGTTGAGAACTTACCTGGCAGGGGAAACACCATGTGTCTGGGTCCATGAAGGCAGTTTTCCTTAAGTGTTCCCGGGGATAACTGTTCTTCTGGCGTGGTTTAGTACCCGCCAAGGTGTTGGGGCTTAAAGCCCACTTTATGGAAACGGGAGGCTCCCCCCTAGCTTGGTCTTGCATCCATATGGCTGAGGGCAGGCGACATGTGCTTGCATCTGACCCCCAAGCCTCTGGGCTTGGGCCTGCACATAGGATGCCTGCCAGAAGTCTTTGGAAATAGCTGAAGCCCCTGGTGTGGGTGGAAGATGTTTGCCAGTTGTGGGGACACTTATGATTCTGGACTAACTCACGGATTTGGACTTGATTTGGCTGATTTGACTTGGAACACAAAAAAAATTCTTTAAAAAAAGTAAGGGAACTGCTACTTGTAAGACAGGAGAATTAATTGATATATTGAGAGAGCACATGATGTTTGTGTATTTATGTAAAAAAAAATCAGTGTTTATTAAGCCAAGCCTTGTTCCCACTCAGATGTAGTATGCCTTTTTAAAGAGTTCACAAATTTTTATTTTCTGTAAATCTAGGAGATGAAAATATGTTACATAAGCTAGGACAAATCCAGTCAATTTGAATGAATTTAATACAGTATTTTACTTTTGTTTCTCTCACACAAATCTTGGGATATCAATGGGAGTCTTTAACAAAGAGAAAAAGTAGAATGGCACTTTATTTTATTTTGTTGTCTAGGCTTCATTCCCATCTTAGTTAATGTGTTATAAGTGGGAAGTAATATCATTGCAACTAAATGAAATGGAGGGCAGTTGCTCTTGGTTTATTTAACATGGACAGGAGTAAACCATTGCAATGGTGCTGTCTTGGGCAAAGGAAAATGTTAGAAGTCAGGTAAATTACTTATTCAATAAACCTGGTAAGCTGAGGCAGTACAACAGTGGTTTTCAGCTAAGGTGCACCAACTTTAAAAAGTGTTGTGTGAGAGAGCCTCTGAAAAGCTTGAAAACCACTCTGCTTTAAATATTTAATGAGCAACGTGAGAAACCATATGCTGTTGTTTATGGTGGACCTGTACCAAGGAACAGGATTTTAGATTCCAGAGTTTTCAGGCTGGCAGCTGTTATAACAGAGAAACTAAACTTGCACCCAAAAAAGGAAAAGAAAAAAAAGTTTAAAAAGCGTTTTTAATCTGTGTTGAAAAACAAATGGCTGTTGAGGACATTTGAAATAAGTTAATGTTATGAACTCAAAATTCTGCATATGGATTCTGTCATTTAACCCCCCCCCCCCCCTTTTTTTTTTTAATTTTAGATATAAAGCTTAAAGATTACGGAGCAGAGCTTATAGAAGTTTCAGATAATGGTTGTGGTGTAGAAGAAGAAAACTTTGAGGGCTTGAGTAAGTTGAATTTTTTTTCTTTTAATTTGTTTTAGAGCCTCCTCTACCACTTCTAGCAAACTTTAAAAATGTAATGTTTTTAAAAAAGATACTTGACCCTTCCACAGAATAAATATACCTTCAAGAGTTGAGGTGAAGCTAGTTATAGGATGGCTTGGTGTCATGTTAATGGTATGTACATGTATGAAAGAGACCTACATCTAGATTGTGCACAGAACAAATACTGGTGATGTTCATTTTCTGTGAACACTCAAGAAGTTAAATTTTACAAGTATGACAGCTTTTTAAAAGTGACCATATAAGCTTGAATATTTGCTTAAAATAAAATTAACGTTGTATCTTTGATTATAAATATTACAAACTGTAGTTTTTAAGTCATCCAGAGAGGGTCACAGAAATACCATGTAACACTAAACAAGCATGTTTAATCAGGGCAATTAAAATAGTGGATTTTTTCCCAGTGAATTGTTTGCAAAGGATCTGTGGACCGGTATTTGTTCATTGAATCAATTTATGAATAATTTGGATAAATAGCTATAATTGAGAATTTCACACACATTTTGCAAATTAAGAAAACTGTTGAATTACTTCTTTATCTTGAATAGTTATACTGTAAAAGTTCTTTTGTTTCTTCAAATAATTACAAAAAATGCTTATGTAAATCAATAGGCAGACAAGGTTCCTTGGGTGAATTTGATATCTTTTATTAGACGAACCCAAATAGTTGGAGAATAGTTATTAAGCAAGCTTTCAAGTTCAAAAACCCTTCATCAGGCTAAGGAAGTTTCAGCAGTTGGTGTGCGCTCTTCCTGGATGGAATGACAAGTAAAGAAGCCAGGGCTGGGCTGGGGAGTCAGTTGCCAGGCAGATTATAATGTATCAAAAATCAGTAAAATCAGTAAAAAATCAAAAATGTAAATCAGTGTCACTTTAGAAAGATGTGGTAGAATTATATATATTATAAATATGTTTTTCCAGCTTTGAAGCATTATACTTCTAAGATACAAGATTTCTGTGATCTAATACATGTTGAAACATTTGGATTTCGAGGTGAAGCTCTGAGTTCACTGTGTGCATTAAGGTAATAATATTAACCTTTATTAGTAGAAGTTTACTGCTCTACAGCAATAGTAATATTAAATTGACAACTATGGCTTCAATTATCAATGAAACAAGGCTTTGGAAATTTGTAACTTGGTTTTTCCTCAACTGACAAAAACAATTATTTGCTGTTCAGGAATATCTTATTTTTTAAGTGGGTAAGTGCTGTAGAATTAAGCCATTTATGTACTACAAAAAATGTAGTTTAACAGTTGTTAAATCCAGGTGCAGCAAGTAGGGCTAGATTAAAGTTTGCTATAACAAGATTATACATAAATTTACCTTGGCCTGGTAATCTTCTCTTTTTTGACATGTTTATTAATACCCATGTATATGCAACCAAAGTCTGATGGGTCTTATGTTATGTGGCTGAGCAGCAAGCAGGGTTACCGGTCAGAAACATATTTGTTTTTTTTAAACTAATCTTTGTCATGTATTAATACTCCACTGAGTGTCTTTGCAGGGATGATTCAGGTAAGTAGTGTTTCTGCCTCTTATCCCAAATCAAATGTTGGCGCTTTAAACGAAAAATCCAGTCTGTTTTGGAACAGCTATAGGGGCCATGCAGTTGAGAGAGGATACAGCACATCCTGAAAAGGCAGCTGGAGAACCAGCAGAATACTTCAGAGCACAGGCACAGTGATGCCAACATTATTAGGATATTCTTTAATGTGAAATTACTCCTGGTCCAGACAAGAGTTAAAGATCCTCAGTAACATTCTGCCTCTATCAGTATGAAGAGATGTGGTGTTTGGTCAGAAATCTTTTTGTGTTGATGCAACTAAATTTATATTCATATAAACTTATGTGCAGACAAGTTTACAGTCTGTAAGGTGGTTAATTTTTAAGGCCCTGTTTCAGCAAAACCATCCTGTTAAGTATGTGCCTAAGCATCTTTTTTATTATAGCCCAAATTAAGAAAAAAAGACAGTTCAGATTTGAAATGCAAAAGCCTCAAGATGTCTTTTGGTGCCTTTAATGTGCCGTATATTTTATTGTAAAATCAGTGTTTTCTCATGTGACCTGTAATAATAACCTGTTGGATTCTTCAGCAGTTATGAAAACTATAAACATTCTGTCTCTGGTGTTATAAAAAGTGGATGTTTGTCTCTGTAATAGTGTAATTTTGTATAAGCTGCCACTAACTTATAAAAGGGATACAATTGAGAGGCATTTACTAGAATAAGTTCATCTTGGCCAAGGCTTGTATATAAACCTTCAGTGTATAGTACTATATGACTGAAAAAAATTGATCCAAATGTCAGTGACCTACTTCAACATTTTCAGTCCTTCTTTTAGCTGTTAGCTCCATATAGTTTCATAGTTAGTAGGGTTGGAAGGGACCTGAGCAGATCATCAAGTCTGACCCCCTGTTACAGTCAGG